ATGTGCAGCCAAGGTTGAGAACCACTGGTCTAGGAGAAGGAACACTTTTTGATGTGAAAATGCCATTTTCTTCTTTTTTTAAAAAAAGTTGATGTCAGAGAGGAAGGGAGAGGGGGAGAGAGAGAGAGAGAGAGAGAAACATCCATGATGAGAGGGAATCATGGATCGGCTGCCTCCTGCACGCTCCACACTGGGGACAGAGACCGAAACCCGGGCATGTGCCCTGACCGGGAATTGAACCGTGACCTCCTGGTTCATAGATCAATGCTCAACCCTTGAGCCACATCCACCAACCAAAATGCCATTTTCTTTGAGTGATTTCACCGATTCGAGTTCTCTGTCCTCCTGAAGGGCACACACAGGCTCTCCCTCACCAGCCCAGACGCCTGCTCGCTGGGGACAGCCACGTGGCGTCCCCCGGGAGGGCTGAGGCTAGCTCACCATCTTCCGCCTCCGTCTTTCTGGGGACATGTGTGTGTCATGTGTGCTGACACGTGTGTGTGGGTGCACCCGCCCCGCCGCACCTGCGTCTGCTTGGGGCCGATGTCCATGCGCTCCAGCAGGTTGTTGAGGAAGGCGGTGACGCTGTCCCAGGGGTAGATGCTGTTGGAACCGTCCAGCACGATGACGATGTCCAGCTGCGTGCCGCACTCTGCAAGACAGGCAGCGCATGCGCCTCAGGCAGGAGGGCTCCTGGCCCCGGGGGCGCCCAGGCCTCACTGACGTTTTACAGGGCGCACGCGTGACTTTCAGACCAGAAACAACAGTTAGAAAAGCAGAAGTGGCGCCCATTGCATTCCGTCACCACGGGGTCGGAGGTCTAACCAGGCAAAGCTCCTCTCCCCCTAACCTTCTAACACCGCATGGGCATGGCTGAGCCTGCCCCAGTGGGAGCTTTATAAAGGGTGTCTCAAAATTCACGCAAGAAGTAATTTTGATAGAAAACACAGGTTTATAATTAAAAATTGTACATTTTTTTATTGATTCATAAAGTATACAGTATAGGGTTATGTATGGAATAGCTATTGGGTAAATGGCCTCCACGGCTTTGCTGGCACATACGCACTCTTTTGTTGAAATTTTCCATGACCGTTTTGCATTAATGTGGCTGAATTTCGATGAGGCTCGTTTTCATCTTGATGGCTTGGTTAATCGACAAAATTGTCACATTTGGGGTTCAGAAAATCCACGAGTGATTGTTGAGAAACAAATGCATCCACAACGTGTCACTGTTTGGTGCGGATTTTGGGCTGGAGGCATCATCGGACCATTCTTCTTCGAAAATGCGGCTGCTCAGGCAATAACAGTTA